TCATTTCCATCTTGCACATTTCATCTGATGCTACTGAAATATTAAATATTACTGTTTTACTGTATATTCTTCTTTCAAAAACATTTTAAAAATCTTACCAACTCCAAACTGTACATTAATAATGTACATAAAGGCTTATGATAGATCATCTTAGTTTTTGGGTGGAATGTTAAGTGACTTTCATAAATGCATGCAGGTCTGCAGAATGCTTCTCTTCTGGAGAACGAGATGCTGGTGTGCTGTAATAGCCCTCCTCATTTGAAAGGTGTCCCAGTATGCCAGGTACCAGAGTGTAAAACCCTCACAACCATGAGCCCTATCCCTACAAGTCTTACCACTGCGAGCCTGACCACTGGAAGTCCTGGCACCGGGAACCCTGCCACTGTATTAATAACCAAACCTCTTAGAATCGGACCCTCAACTTTAATCATTTTAATTGGTAGGTGGAACTAATTCATTGCCTAAATTCAGCCCTCATGTCCAGGAGCTTGTGTTGTGGATGACTAACCATCGGACCCTCAACTTTAATCATTTTAATTGGTAGGTGGAACTAATTCATTGCCTAAATTCAGCCTCATGTCCAGGAGCTTGTGTTGTGGATGACTAACATTTTATTATGTAACCAGTGGTACTGTGTGCCCTGGTGCTTGTCATCTGTGTCCTTTCAGTATTGTATCACAGGAAAAGAGAGAGAAAACCTCTACAGGCTGTAAAACCTGCTTCAGAGAAATCAGAAATGATACGAACCAGTGAATCAACTGCAAAGAGCAATGGAGAAGAAAACAGAAAAATGAAATCTGAAATTGCTAATAAAACACAAATTGCCACAACAGAGGTGTTACTGAGAACAAACCAAATGATGGTTGGAGATGAGAAGACATCACAGATTTACCATATTTATTCATCAGGGACATATGAAACCAGAGAACCTATTAAACGAGTGAGATCTGCCGGGCCGGTCCTGTGCAGGATGGAGATGTTTTCTAAACCGACAGAAGCAGAAGAGGCCACTGAGGAAGATGGGGTAAGGAATGATGAGTATTACAATGGATGGATGACCTCAGAAAAAGAAAAGGACAATGGATGTGTGAATACTGAGGAGGTGGAAGATGGAAACAACTTTGCAGATGAGGAGAATGATGGATTCATTGATGAGGTCAGTAACACCACAGACACTGTGAAATTACACAAGGAACTTCGAGAGAAAAAAGAAGATACTGATGTGAGTGTTCAAGCCGGAACAAGTGTTGACCAAGACGTTCTTCAGCATAGTGTGGAGAATGATGTGTTGGATCACATGAATGAGTTGACCGTTGAAGCAGGAAGCAGTCAAGATATTCTCCAGGTAAAACCTGTCACATCCCAGTCTGAGGACACTGCTGAAAACCTGCCGTACCTCTCGATCGGTGCTGATCCGGAAAACCAGACCTCTAGGGTTGATCAGAATACTGCTAAAGGAACGTCTGGACCTTCAAGACCCATTTGGCGGGTACTGACCTGGCCTCCGACTGCAGCCCAGTGGAAGAAGCAGTGGGCTCAAAATCAACAAGTGCTTAATGTGTTCCCTCAACTAATATTTGTAACCGGCTGCAGGCATGACATCAGACCATTTCATCCAAGCATTTCTCCTGCAATCCTCCCAACTGCTCCACAGTTCAATGCACGGGAGTTTCTGCCAGAAATAACGTCCCCAATAGAAGATGTCCGAGTCACTATTGATGAGGACACTTACAGGGCAAGTCTTGAGTCATCCAATCATAAAGTCCTACATTTCAGTGCACAGGAATGCTTCTCTGATTCTAATATATCACCAAGGGAGGATGGCAGAATTAATACAAATGGGCAAACTTGGAGGTCAGGTCTCGAATCGACCATCTTTTCCGATTTTCGAGACTTGTCCTCCAAGAACTCCCAAATTGATGAAAGTGAGATCTGCTCTGAATTGTTCAGCATTTGTAATCCATCATTTGGTGGCAGCAAGTCAAAGCCTGCTGCTGGAGAGGAGATAAACAACAAAGATGATGTTAAGAAAATACAGAGCATGAAAAGAAAGACGCACAGAGTTCACCAAAGTGAACAGGTTGCATCAGAATTGCAGAAGCAGTCCAGGAGAGTGGAGAAAGCTGCACGGAGAGCTCACAGAGACCGACGGCAGGGTCAGATGTGTGACGGCTCTGACTCAAGAGCGCCCCCTTCGGGAGGTTCTCCAAAAGATGACAGCCTGTTGCTGGGGAATGAGTATACCTTTATAGACCTGCTACATGAGGTGGTGGAAAATCATGGGCGCTGGACTCGAGAAAGGTGGAGAGAAACACAAAAAAACAAACACAAGCTCAAACAGAGTCGTTAGGTACCGGAAGTATGTTACAAATTATATATATATATACAGTATCTCACAGAAGTGAGTACACCCCTCACATTTTTGTAAATATTTTATTATATCTTTTCATGTGACAACACTGAAGAATGAACACACCTGCTCCCCATTCACACCTGAGACCTTGTAACACTAATGAGTCACATGACACCGGGGAGAGAAAATGGCTAATTGGGCCCAATTTGGACATTTTCACTTTGGGGTGTACTCACTTTTGTGGCCAGTGGTTTAGACATTAATGGCTGTGTGTTGAGTTATTTTGAGGGGACAGCAAATTTACACTGACAAACAAGCTGTACACTCACTACTTTACATTGTAACGAAGTGTCATTTCTTCAGTGTTGTCACATGAAAAGATATAATAAAATATTTACAAAAATGTGAGGGGTGTACTCACTTCTGTGAGATACTGTATACGTATGTGTGTGTGTGTGTTGTGGTGTCTGTGCCACAAATGTAAAAAGAAAATGTATTTAAAATATAAAAACAAAAATGAAAGATTATTAAATAGATCTCGAAATAATCAGTTCTTCAGCTCTGTGAAACCTACAAAACACTGTAAAATATGCACCATATGATAATGAATATGGTATGTAACAATGCACCTGGTATGTACAGTATTTTCTATAATCTAGTACAGACATTTGGTTTCACAATTGACAGATTTTTACTGCATTATTAAATGCTAAATAAAATGTGTGAATCTATATATCAACAGAGTCAAAGTATCTATTGGTAGGAAAATACTGCCACATTTCTCTGGCTGCATGCAGCATTTATTGATTCATTCTTACATGTTAGTACAGACTTCATTTAAGAAATTGTACAAAATGTATAAGTTCATGTATTAAGCACAATCCAAAAACAGGAGCCAGCAACTGTAAACATGGGTCTCTGACACATTTGGCAAGATAAGGACATGCATGGTCCATGTTTTTCTAAAACTACTGGACAAATAACAAAGAAATTTTGTAAATTACAGCAGCTTTGATCAGCTGATCAAGATATAGGATTTAAATCGTAGGGAACTAGTAAAAATAGAAGAATCTGCAGGCTGATATTTTTAACATGCACATTATGCATATCCTTTCCAATTATGGCTGGAAATTTAGGAAAACGTAAAAAAAAAAAAACCTTCCCGAAGCAATCTGCATGAGAAAACAGTGACTGATGGACAATGTAGGTGACAATATCTGTACGCAAGCAAAAAACATGAATGTAGTCTGATGAACTGTACAGTATTCTGCCCAACATGTCAAGGGTTGACGCCTCCATTTACTACTGACAGATTGACAGTCTTGGAGCTAAGCAATAAATAAACTGATATGCCAGATTAATAGAAGTGATATAAGGCAGAAAATGCCTTAAATATGCTGTAAACATGAATACAGAATTATAAAGTATTTTTTTAAAGCATAATAGCTACAAAGATTCCCATTTCACTGCTTTTGCTGTCATCTATCGCATTTCTTTGTGGAGACAGACAGCTAAGAATGATAGGAGAGGTATTCAACCTTAGCTACTTTGAACAGAAAATGTGAATGCCCACTTTGCGCAAAGAAAGATAAATACATCTGTCTGTTAAAACAATAGAACGATTCAAATCAAGAGCAGCTTTCCATGATAGCTTTAAATGTCAGCTCCATATACTGATTGGAATGACAAATGAACAATGCAATATGTCTTAATACAGAAGGCAAAAACAAAACACAAATATTAATGTAAAATGTATAAACTTTGTAAAGTTTTCTATGTGTAGTTTAAAGGGTTACTATGTACTGCTCTATAAACAGAGCTTAGTGCAATAAAATCGGCAAATTCAAATGATGTATACTCTCCCTCGTGCACTCTCTATATAATATTTATATAGAGATATATAGCTAATATATAGCGATACCTTTTTGTCCTAAATGAGCAGTAACGTACATTGTGCACACTGAAAAAAAAACCTTAATATTTTTATAAATACAAATGCTGTTGTAAAGAGAAAAAAAAAAAACAAAACACTTGTTAGCTTTGAAGCAAAATGCAGCCGAAAAACAATGGTTACCAACAGTGTATATTACATCTACTATTTTCTATTGTATAACCCAAACACAATTCATAAGTTTGACACCAAACCTGTTTCAATATTAATCTTATGTATATTACCGTTTGACATCTCTTCAATGTGTTTGCTGTAGAATAGGTTCAATTTTTTTCCTGTAAATTCGAAATCGTAAAGAACTTAATCTAGCTTCTGTTCTCAGCACATGTAAACTGGTGCATGATAACATTTGTAGTGATAATTGACAGCGATTTACAGTAAATCATCATGGTATTCAATCATGTAAAAGCTTTAGCTTGAGATTAGCAATTTCAAATGTAAAACCCTTTGTGCTTTGAGGAAGAAAACACAACAAAATACTGTGAATACTAAGTCACTGAGCATGTAAAAGAATATGTGGCTAACTTATATACAAATATATTTTTACATACACTATATTCGTGCTATACAAGTACAAAATATAGCACTGATGTAAACTAATTCTGTTCAATATCATACTGAAACACCTCACATGTATGATTATCCAGTGTTCTGGTCCACTCGGGACAGCTGACTGATGTAATAGTTGTTTTTTTCCCCTTCTGTCTTTAGCTGCCCTCTTGAATGCTGCTTTACGTAATGTTTCTGATATATACTGTCCTATAAATCCAATCTTGTTTGGTCCAAACTGATTCAACACCTCACACTTGCACTGAGCCAAGTCTCAAATACAAAAATGTAATAACCAGCCACATTCAGAGAAGTCTGAAATGTGTCACGAGATTCTGTATGTCTGTGTTGTAGAAAAGAGGAATCTGTAAAGTGTTTCAGTTCTACAGTTACGACCATTTGGCTTGGTTGGGCAGCTTGGGTTGTGAATGTGTTGGCACATGGGTCGTGTCTGTACGGTCGGTTGTGAGTCCTGTCAATCTTCATGCAGACTGTAGCAGCTCAAGGCGGAGAAGGGAGGGTTAACGAGAACTTCCAGTTCCTACAGATGGGTCTCATCCCTCGTCTCAGGTCCATAGTCTTGTCGTAGCTTCACTCCGGCCGGAGCCCCTGGGAGATTCTCAGGGACATGTGCCAGCGGATCAGAACGGATGATGTAGCTAGAAAAGGGTGGAAAACAGGTTGTACGTTTAAAAAAACAGCCAGCTGAACCTAGCACACTGTTAAAGGAGCAAAATATATTTGCAAACAAAAACAATTTGTACAGCCCAAAGTTCATATTGTTCATGTTAGCATAGTAGCATAACCATTACCAGATACAGTCCCACCCCAAACTTATGCCATTGGTTGAGCAAGAGGGTAATATGATGTGGAATGAATGCTGATGATGGGTTGACTAATTTAGTGCAAATATCCTGTCTTGCTGCCAAAGGCAATTTACACTCTACCCACCACTGTCTGGATGAGCCAGACAAAACTGACATGATCGACCTGAGCTTCAGTCTGCCAGATGAATTTCCAGTCACATTCTTCTCCACTTTCTCATCACAAATCAACTTGGAGAACCATTTATTTTTATTGAAAATGAAGAAAATATTCAAAAAGAGGAAGTAAAGTGCCAAACGGGTATAGTCGAAGACTTTATAGTCTTTGGAAAGTCAATCGGTAACACTTTATTTTGATGGTCCCTTTAACACATTCTGTTGACAATAAGTAATGTTGCACCTACATGTCTACTAACTCTCATCAGAGTATTAGTAGACTGTTTGCTTAATATCTGCTAACTGTTTATTGTCATGGTCTCCCAACAGACATTCTACTGACTATAAGTAACTTTGCAAGTACAGGTCAACTTATTCTAACCCCAACAGTCTACTAATACTCTAATGAGAGTTAGTAGACATGTAGGTGCAACGTTACTTATAGTCAACAGAATGTGTTAAAGGGACCATCAAAATAAAGTGAAACCAGTCAATCTATAAATTGTTTTCTTGTCACATTTAACTGGGAAAAGTGTATATTAACATACAAAACGGCACACTATAATTTTAATATATGCCACTTACACAATATCATTGAGCTCTAGAATGGTGTCCGGAGGAGGGTTTATCAGCACATATGATAACGTGTTCTGATTATCATTCATTTCATCTGCAAGAGAAACAAAACACAGTCACTATTGTATTTAACCTGTATCAATTCTTAATAATCCAAAACATTTGTGTGACAAAGTTCTGAGAAGTTATCCATAACATTTATCTCTGTTCCTACTACAGATAATAAAACTATGCTGTCAGAATAGCCCCAAAAAAAGTCAAAAAACAAGGGAGGCAGTTGTTGTGTACCCACTGTGTTAGGATTTTGCTGGCTGGGTTTCTGAGGCTTTGTTGTATTTTACCTGCTTGTAAATGACCGAGAAGTGTGAACCTTTGCAGGTCTGTGCATAAGGGACTCAAGACTGGGACAAAGTGCCTCTGCTTCTCCAAACCCACCTGTTTGAGCCACTTATAATGCCAGGCCAGGTAAAAGAGAGAGAAGGGCTAACCGTTACTGACAGGGCATGGCTGCATTTACGGAACGCCCATGCAACCGCAAGCGCTCCCCATGCGCGGACGCATGCAGACAGGGTCCGCATCCACCCACGCATTCAGTCTCTCAATCCATCCATCCGTCTACTGCATCATATTCACAGCTGACCCACTGAACGTTGATCATTGCCATGCCAACATACAGCCCCAAGTCAGCAAACAGTAAGACCGACACACACAGATATAAGCATGCTTAGAGGATCTGTCAGGCCCACCAAGCCAAGGCTCAACCAATCAGAGTGAAGCAAAAAACATTAGTAGTGCGGGATTGGGAGGAGTCAATAGCCAAACGCTAATTAACCAATTACACCAATGGGAAACCCAAATACTTCTCCCAGTATCACCCCATTAATAAGAATGAAAAGCTGAGAAACAATGCTGCAAATCAGTACAAGCAGACTTATAAGTGTACGCCTAAATACCTGTGCTAGATGGACCCTTCCGACAAAGACTGAATGCTTTCTACTCCACTCTGTCCAAACATCCTGGAATCAAAAGCCCTCACTCATCATGTCTTATATCAATGCTCAGATGCCAGTGAGTACCTGCAGTACCCTCTGTCATGTAAGTACCCTCTTCAGTTCGTACCAGAGGAGAAAAAGACAACTACATCACTGATTTAACTATAAAATCAGACTTCATTATTTCAGAAACAGGTCAGCACTGCTGTCAAATGACATTGTTGATCAGGAGCATGTTTTTGCAAACATGAGACAAAATGTTAGGTGTGATACTGCACCTAAACTGCAAAAAACATATTATTGAATAAATAATAATATTAAATAAATACTGCATTCACATAGAAAATGTGGCTAATAGCCATGTAAAAAAATACAAAGTCTGCATATATTGTATATTACACCCACGCATAGTCTATGCAGAATGAACTTGTACACTTTATCCATAATTGCATTTAAGTCATAAAAAATGCTATACCTTTGCTTTACCTTTTGCATTTATGTACAGTATAAGTACGGAATAAGGTACAGTCATCATTGCTAAACAAATCCTGACAGGGTGATCAGGATGGTGACAAAAAGCTGAAGGTTTTATATTACAATAATGACTAACTGACTGTGCATTATACTGCTTATTACACAGCTATTTAAAAAAATTAATTTGAGTTGAAACAGCTGGGACAACAATAAGTTAAATAGCTTAGTGATCATTATATAAGACTGGAGAATGCTGCAATTGACCAACCAGAATCAAGTATTCCAGTGAGCTGTGTAACAATGAATTATACACAAATGCAAATTCGATTATAATGAAATCAGTCGGCTTTACAGATAAGCACTAGGTTTCTAAATCATACTCGTTTTGTCCAGTGTCATTATAATGCCAATGGCCAGCAGTTCCCTGCGGTCTGTTTTTAATAAGATAAGAGGAAGGCTCATGGGGCACAGACTAGCCTACTGATGATGTCATCTGGAAAAAAATGTACAAAAAGGAGAACTGTAGGCAGCAGTCTTCAGACATTTGCATGTAGCTTTAGCAAGAAAATGTCAGCCAGGAAAATGTAAGAATTTAAAAAAACACTGAATTTTGAATCTAAAAGAAAATAAATAAAGGCCTATTAAAGGAATAGTTCACCCAAAAATGAAAATTTCCTGAAAATGTACTCACCCTCAGGCCATCCAAGATGTAAATGAGTTTTCTTCATCAGAACAGATTTGAAGAAATCCATCATCAAGACATTTTACACTGTCACTTCTGGCCAAAATATTAGTCCCTAATCCATAATAACACTTCCTCCAGTGAAGTCCATCCCCTGTTGTCCTCTTATAATAAAACAAACCAACATATTTGTTTAGAACTGTTCTGGACTGTTTTTACTTTTAAAAGTGTTTGATCTGTGCATGTTTATTTCCTGAATTAGACGAGATGACTTTCACTGGAGAAAGCAATATTATGGATAGAGGACTCGTATTTTAGCAGGAAGCTTTTCGCTTCACAAGACATTAACTGATGGACTTTATCAGCTGTTTGGACTCTCATTCTGACGGCACCCATTCACTGCAGAGGATCCACTGGTGAGCGAGTGATGGCCTGAGAATGAGTACATTTTCAGCAAATTTCCATTTTTGGGTGAACTAGTCCTTTCAATTGCCACAAAGCATTTTCATTAGACTTTCAGTGCTTATCCTATTAAATACAGACTGCTGATGCTGTTCTAATCAATGCCCCTGGACAAACTGAGCAAATTGAGTGGAGTTTCCTGTTTACTTCAGTCTCCAGAACATCAGGTTCCAGATCCACTGGAACAATCCTATACTACAGGAACAATGTTTTTGGGTAGATTTACCTTGCAAATATCCTAGATTTACTCGGTTCATCACATCACTTGCAGTTAAATTAGCTACGTCCTCTACAGCGTGCGGGGAAAAGACCAAAGTAGAAAGAGATAAGAAAGAAAAGGTCAAGCAAGCAGCAGAGAAAGCAACACTTTTTTAAAGAGAAAGATCAAGAAAAAATCACCATGCAAAAAACACATTCTTAAAATATCAATGAATAATACTTCATACTATTATGACTGCTAATGTTTATATTTGTTATAGTTACATAAAATGTCATTACTATCATCTCATGGTTTACATCTAATTTTAAAGATAAGGTGTGTAAATTTCTGCAAAAGAAGTAGTTTTAACATGAAAAAATACACTTCAACTTTAGTTTTCAATAGTATTTCTCAGGGTTGACAAGTGAAAAATTAGAGAATTATATTTTGCAACATGGAGGATAGAAAGGGAGTAAAGTTTCTAGGAAGGTGAATACAGAATGAAAGACAATGCAGAGCACACAAAACACAAGTTGATAATGAGCTCTGATCCTTAAACAATAAATTATATTCATTATGACACTATAAAACCCACCTGCTATAATAAAGGAAATATTTCTTCAGAAGAACATCTACAATATACAGTGAGGTCCAAAGGCTTGAGACTACTAATAAATCTTTTTTTATTATTATTATTTATCTCTTGAAATACCTTTTGGGAAATTGTTAAATTAATTACTATTAATTACGTAAAACTAATTCACTAATCATATTAAGTAAATTTGTAATTATGTGATGCTTTGTACAGAAGGTCAGATGTTTTGCTTCCATTGAAATTCAAGACGCTCTTTGGATCATCTCAAATCATACTGGAGAACCTGATCATTTGGATCTAAAATGGTTTAGAATTAGAAAATAATGCATAATATAACTATTTTTTTTACTAGTGGACTCAGACCTTTGAACCCCAGTGCATATCTTGGAAAAACAAATATGTGTCCTATAGATAAAATACCCCTTTATGCAATGATTTACATGAAGGCATGTAATCTATATTTTGTTTCTCTTTAATCTGGCATTTTCCTGTAATCTTTTATAAAGAATGTTTCAGGAGAATGATGATTAATGCAGGGGACACCATTTTATGATTTACAAAGAGAAACACTGAAAACAGATCTCAAGCATTTATAACGCACTATATCAAAAAGACACCAAGGTAAGGGGGTTCTGAACCTTCAGTATTTTCGTAGGCACAAACAGAAATACTCACTTCGCCTTGTCAAACTCACCGTATCCCACAGTGGGCAGCCCTAAGTGCTTCATGCGGTTCTTCACCAGCTCTGACAGCTCCTGTCTCTCTGAACGCCGGTACAGGTTTAGGCGCTGTTGATTGATGCGTTCAACTCGACTGGGCGGTTTGGTGCTTTTTCTGCTTAGCCGTCTCGCCCACTGCATGCTCTTCTTCCGCAGGAGTGGGTGCTCTGATTGGTCGCTCCCTGTGGAGTTTCTGTGGGCGGTTTTCTCTTTCCAGGATTCCCTGTGGTCCCGCGGGTCCTCACAGTCCTCCACAGACACCTGAGACTGCTCAGCATGGAAACAGGTTGTCAACAGGTTAACAGGCTCATTGTCTGACGGCTGAAGTCATTATGTTGTACTTTTTTTTTGTACCAGTTTATTAGCAGTTGAACATCTTTACTCTGGAAAGTAGCACTAAGTAATTACACATATATTTTTAGCTGAGTCTAATTCACCTGCTGACAGGATGTCATTAGCCTTGTCTAAGTTTAAGGCACACTTCTAAAGTTTGGGGTCAGTAAGATTTTTTTTTTTTTATATAAATAAAAGGGGCATTCCATAAAATTAGAATGTCGTGGAAAAGTTCATTTATTTCAGTAATTCAACTCAAATTGTGAAACTCGTGTATTAAATAAATTCAATGCACACAGATTGAAGTAGTTTAAGTCTTTGGTTCTTTTAATTGTGATGATTTTGGCTCACATTTAACAAAAACCCACCAATTCACTATCTCAACTAATTAGAATATGGTGACATGCCAATTAGCTAATCAACTCAAAACACCTGCAGAGGTTTCCTGAGCCTTCAAAATGGTCTCTCAGTTTGGTTCACTAGGCTATACAATCATGGGGAAGACTGCTGATCTGACAGTTGTCCAGAAGACAATCATTGACACCCTTCACAAGGAGGGTAAGCCACAAACATTCATTGCCAAAGAAGCTGGCTGTTCACAGAGTGCTGTATCCAAGCATGTTAACAGAAAGTTGAGTGGAAGGAAAAAGTGTGGAAGAAAAAGATGCACAACCAACCGAGAGAACCGCAGCCTTATGAGGATTGTCAAGCAAAATCGATTCAAGAATTTGAGTGAACTTCACAAGGAATGGACTGAGGCTGGGGTCACGGCATCAAGAGCCACCACACACAGACGTGTGAAGGAATTTGGCTACAGTTGTCGTATTCCTCTTGTTAATCCACTCCTGAACCACAGACAACGTCAGAGGCGTCTTACCTGGGCTAAGGAGAAGAAGAACTGGACTGTTGCCCAGTGGTCCAAAGTCCTCTTTTCAGATGAGAGCAAGTTTTGTATTTCATTTGGAAACCAAGGTCCTAGAGTCTGGAGGAAGGGTGGAGAAGCTCATAGCCCAAGTTGCTTGAAGTCCAGTGTTAACAGTCTGTGGTGATTTGGGGTGCAATGTCATCTGCTGGTGTTGGTCCATTGTGTTTTTTGAAAACTGCACCCGTTGCACCCGTTTACCAAGAAATTTTGGAGCACTTCATGCTTCCTTCTGCTGACCAGCTTTTTGATGATGCTGATTTCATTTTCCAGCAGGATTTGGCACCTGCCCACACTGCCAAAAGCACCAAAAGTTGGTTAAATGACCATGGTGTTGGTGTGCTTGACTGGCCAGCAAACTCACCAGACCTGAAGCCCATAGAGAATCTATGGGGTATTGTCAAGAGTAAAATGAGAAACAAAAATGCAGATAATGCAGATGAGCTGAAGGCCACTGTCAAAGAAACCTGGGCTTCCATACCACCTCAGCAGCTGATCACCTTGATCACCTCCATGCCACGCCGAATTGAGGCAGTAATTAAAGCAAAAGGAGCCCCTACCAAGTATTGAGTACATGTACAGTAAATGAACATACTTTCATGTTTTTTTATTCATCTTATGCAGTATTCTAATGTGTTGAGATAGTGAGTTGGTGGGTTTTTGTTAAATGTGAGCCAAAATCATCACATTTAAAAGAACCAAAGACTTAAACTACTTCAGTCTGTGTGCATTGAATTTATTTAATACACGAGTTTCACAATTTGAGTTGAATTACTAAAATAAATGAACTTTTCCACGACATTCTAATTTATTGAGATGCACCTGTATATAAAGAAATTCATACTTTTATTCATCAAGGATACATTCAATTGATCTAAAGTGACAGTAAAGTCATTTCTAATGTTAGAAACGATTTCTATTTCAAATAAATGCTGTTCTTTTGAACTTTCTATTCACTAAAGAACCCTGAAAAAAAATGTCACGGTTTCCACAAAAAATATTAAAGTGCCCCTGTTATGCCATTTTGAGTATTGCCTTTCATGCAGTGTGTAATGTAGCTGTATGTGAATGTTAATGATCTGCAAAATTGTAAAGCCGAAAGTGCACAATAAATAAAGTTATCGTCTCCCAAAAGAAAGAATCGACTCTGAACAGCCTAAACGAGTCGTCAGTAATTCGAATCCCACTTGCATAATACCCACCTATGTTCTACGTTGGCCGGCCGCCAACAACTTGACCCCGCCCTCAAACACATCATTTTACTGACGGCTGCTTCTCTAATCTTGGGGAGTTTAATGTGGGATTCACAGAACCCCTGCTCTTGAAAGATGGCTCAGTTCTCAGTTTATTTGGACCAGTTGGCTCCACTGAATCACAAGCTGTAAGTATGATAAATAATAGAATTTAATATTTTTTATAGAGCGTTTAATACGGAACTATGGCAATGGGTGTATTCTTTCTGACACGCGCTGTGCGCAGTAGACCAATCACAACAGACTGGGCCTTCTGACCAATCAGAGCAGAGTAGGCTCACGGAAAGGAGGGGCTTAGAGAGACTGAATCTTAGAACTTCTTCGAACGAATCCTTGAGAATCATTGGAAATTAAGGTGATATTAAATGCATATTTTGAGAAAACAAAATCATTTTTTGACCTTGTATGTAAACCTAATGTAGGAGACTCCAAAAACAATATTAGGAACCTTAAAAATAGCATAATGGGGCACTTTAAGCAGCACAACTGTTTTCTAAATTGATAATAATAGGTTTTTCTTGAACACCAAATTAGCACATTAGAATGCTTATGAATGATCACGTGACACTGAAGACTGGTGTAATGACTGCTGAAAATTCAGCTTTACATCACCAAAATATTAAAATAGAAAACATTTGTTTTAAATTGCAATTTTACTAACAGACAAAACATTAACAAATCTTACCAACAACAAACTTTTTTAAGGTAGTGCAAGTCCATATGATGACATAGAATAAAATAGCTTTGCTTAAAAATAAATATTTTTCAATTATTAATAATTATTATTAAAAACATTTTAATAAATTTTTTTAAAAATGTTTGATTTAGCTGTAGTACAGCTATAATAAATTTCAATTATTTAATTATGTATTTTCTTTCTCACAGAGTATAAATGGATATTTACAAATAAGAATATACAGCTGTCTTTATATTTTAGAAAGGAATCCTCATATTTGGGGGCCCTTAGCATCAGAAAGTTATTCTTTGGTGGTAAAACGTTTTTGAATGAAAAATGACTTAATTCATTCTTAAATAAACCCACTTACATTACAAAATAAGTATTTATTAGCTAATTATACAGATCACCAGTAGCATATAATGAGTGAGTGAAAGTAATGGATTTTGGAAAGACAACAAACAGCCGAAACACAGCATAATGCTATTAACATATGAGGGTGTAGTTGAGAAATGGAGTGAAGTCTGTATTCTTACCTGTTTGCAAATCTCCTTAAACTGGAAAAAGCAATAGATGTGAATGATCAAAATGAGAAATGATTAGCACAAGGACTGCATAAGCTCTAGACAAAGCTGTATGACTGACAGCTCATCAAGTTATGTTTCCTATATAGTGGTTTTCACTTTATGGTCATAACATGCATATAGTACTATATTAATGAATTCATATACTTTGCTATGCTGTTGCTTACATTGCAAGGCTTTTAAGATAATCATTATTGATATACAGAGTCATGTACTTGTACATTAATTATACATTTTAATTTTACTTCATACGTTTTAATGTGGGAGGGACAGTGACACATTCATCTGAACTTGAGTTTCTTATCTTTAACACTGGCTGACTTTAACTTAATGTTTTTGTTTGACAAATACTGTAATATTCAATAATTAGCAGCCCTCCTTTTGAAGACCCCCTAACTTAATATTTAAAATAATAAACATTCCATATATATATACATACATAAATACACTACTGTTCACAAGTTTGGGGTTGATAAGACTTTTTTTTAACTGTTTTTGAAAGAAGTTTCTTATTCCCACCAAGGCTGTATTTATTTGATCAAAATACTGTAAAAACAGTAATATTGTGACATATTATTACAATTTAAAATAACTTTTTCTGTTGTCATATATTGTAAAATGTAATTTATTCATGTGAAGGCAAAGCTGAATTTTCAGCATCATTACTCCAGTCTTCAGTGTCACGTGATCCTTCAGAAATCATTTTAATATGCTGATTTGCTGCTCAAGAAACATTTTTATTATTATTATAAATGTTAAAACTGTTATGCTGCAAACAATGAAATTTGATGAATGATTTGAAGAATATAAATTTTAGAAGACCAGCATTTATTTGAAATAGAAATCTCTTGTAACATTATAAATGTTTTTATTGTCACTTTTGATCAATTTAATTTGTCCTTGCTTAAAAAAAAAGCATTAAATTCTTTAAAAATAAAAACGTACTAACCCCAAAATTTTTGAACAGTAGTGTAAATAATATATATATATACATATATATATATATATATTCATAGATATTAGAGTGCCAGGACTAAAACCGGTTGTGTATGTATACTGAAATGTTTAAAAAAACCTACTTGTCAATGGTACCAGCCATGTAGTACACCATAGGGAAACAGCAGATGGCTTCAAGAAAATGATTATCAGGCCTGGAAATGGAGGGGAAGAGCAGTTTGACAATGCTAATCCACTCACAGCTGCAGTTTTAAAGTTCTTAAAGGTTTGGGACTGGCAAACAACCTTATAAAAATGTATTCTCAGGGTAAAAGCTTGTGCAAAATGCATAAGCAGGTAATTGCAAAAAGGCTTTTGACACATCTCAGAGTTGCCATGGAAACTCTGAGGAAGAATCTACAATGTAATGGCAATTGTGTACACTATTTTGCATTACTGAAAGGAAGAATATGTGGAGCATAATGAACAACACTTTTGAAAGCGTTTAGCATTAGAGAGCAAGATAATACATAACGATTTCAATCTAATGCATGACAGAGTGTGAACAGTCGATAAAGAGATTTGTTTTTATGCAGATAAGCATGGAAGTATTTTTAAGTAGTAAAGTCAGGTTAAGCAATGCTTTTGACTGACTTTCGAAGTCTAAAGTCATCACTATGAGCAGTAACATGCGGTGAAAACTGATGAGGCAGCTCGCTCACGGATTATCCAACAGCAGCACAATGGGATTCAGCTCCTTCCGGGGTCGGTAATAGGCACGCAGTGGCACTATGAAGTTGTACAGGCCATTTCCTGCAGTTTCAGCAGAAACGATAATCAACTTGTTTTTGAAACCGTATGCCTTGGCGTCTTCAAAGCTATTATGCCGACAACCCTGCACATAAAAACAAGTAAAACATTTAATGGACTGAAATAAATGATATCAGCTCTAAATGTGTGAAGATATAATGCCTTCATACATACATACATTTAGAGCTGATATGTGTACACACACACACACACACACACACACACACACATATATATATATATATATATAAGATGAAATTCTTAAATACATTGTAGAATGTTGCAATAAATAAAGGCACAAGGAAATTAAATCATAAATAAATAATGCATGGAATATGTGTTTACTTATTTGTATTATATTATACTTATTTATTTACATAAAATGAAAAACCTCAAGAAATATAATATAATATAATATAACAGTGGACAACATCAATTTATCATGAAATTGAAAACATCATGAAGTCATCATGCATTCAGTAAATATAAGCATAATGAACAGTGAGTTCAAAGAAACATAGTGTGTGAAATGTATTTATGTAAAATGAAAAGTGACCTGAAATATGACGATACACATTTCTTTGTACTTTTATGTATTTATTGCTAAAATGCATGATGTATTTAATTATTTATTTTATACTGTTAAATTCCTCCATATAAATACATTACCATTACATCAGTCAGTAAAAAAATCACAATTTCTCTTTCATCAAACTATCCCAATGGATTAAGCTGAATCGCTATCAGTATTTAAGAGTGAATTAAAAATTATACACTCACCTTGTCAAGTCGTAGGCAACAAAACGGCGCCTTTTGTTGCAAAAGGTGACAAAGAGTTGGGGAGCTTCCAATGTAAGGGGAGTTTGGAGGATAGCCTCTAATCCACCTTGAAAAAGCAGAAGGATATAAAATGTAGCAAGTCTGCTTCAATTTAATGCATATACAGTACATGAACCCTTAACTGACTTGTTCTACAAATGCTTTATTTTTGAAAGCATTGCATGTAAATGATCAGTAGATGGCACTGTGAGAGCACTGAAGATTCAGCAGGGATCTTCACCAATTCACTCTGCTCACCAGAGGAAGCATTAGAAAATACAGGAGCAGAACAGAATCCTGCAGCGAGAAAGACTCAGTGCTGCTCTGTAAGAGATTTAGTCTTTATCAAGTGTGTGTGTGTGTGTGTGTGTCTGTGTCTGTGTGAGAGAGAGAGAGAGAGAGAGAGAGAGAGAGAGAGAGAGAGAGAGAATGAGTGCACATGTCTCCTCCGGCTCTGATTGACATAAGCAAACGCTGTAATTATTCTGCAGCATGATCGCTGAATGGGTGATAGCAACTAATATGCTTAAGGTTCATCTGATCTTCCTGAAAGCTATAACATGTAATTCAACAATCACACTAGAGAGAGAGCACAGTAAAATATAACTAGAAGTCATAGAGGTGGGTAAGGAAAAAAAAAATAATTTTTATTCAGCAAGGTTGCATTAAATTGATCAAAAGTGTTAGTAAAGACATTTATAACATTTGTCATTTTATTTTCATTAAAGAATCCTGGAAAAAATGTTTTATCACAGTTTCCACAAAATTAAGCAGCACAACCGTTTTTACATTGATAATAATAAACGTTTCTTGAGGAGCAAATCAGCATATTAGAATGATTTCTGAAGGACCGTGTGACACTGAAGAAAATATTAAGCTTTGCCATCAAAGAAATAAATTACATTTTAAATACATTCAAATAGAAAACCTTTAACTTTTAAAAACATTAAAAAATCTTACCCACCCCAAACTTTTGAACAGTGTAAGTGTATAGGGTTTATTGGCTCTGTACTTTAATATTCTATTTATTATTTTATCGTCTGCCAGTCAAAAATAAAAATGGGTTGCTTAGAAAAGTAATAGCACAGCTATCCACAACGAGCCTCTTAATTAAAGGTGACATATCATGAAAATCTGACTTTTCCTGGCTTTATAAGTGCTATAATCAGGTCCCCAGTGCATCTACCAACCAAGGAAACGTGAAAGAGATTAACCCAGTAACTTTGTTTTGGTAAGCATTTTTCTGCAAGCCTCTGCAAAAACGAGCTCGTCTGATTTCGCTCCCCTAGTGAGGTCGCAAAGGGATCTCATTATAATATTACCGCCCCTTAATCTGTAAGTTTTCACCCACAGCGCCATCATTTTGATTTTGCAAGCAACAACAGTGTACCAGCTCTAATGCCATGGCGAAAGTTTGAGCAAAACATGCTAACTTTTCTGTTTTTGGCTGCATTTTTAGCAGGTACGAGCTGTAATGGCGCAGCTCTATTCTGGAAAAGGGGGCTGGGAGCAGCAGCTCATTTGCATTTAAAGAGACAGGCCCGAAAAACAGCATGTTTCTGCTTCCACTCAAAATAGGCATTTTCAAAATGATATAATAAAGGATCTGTGGGGTATTTTGAGCTGAAAATTCACAGACACATTCTGGGGACACCAGAGACTTATATTACATATTGTAAAAAGGGGCATACTATGTCTCCTTTAAGGCTCATGTCTTTCACATTTGCTGGCTGTTTAAAACGTCAAAGACAAACGACTCTATTGTGCTTCCCATGAGAAATCACATCAATTTTGTACTTTTAAAAACATTATTTACTCTAAGGCTGGTGCTCCTTCATCATCCGATTGGTTGGTCTCGTCTTCTGAGGGGTCACTGAGAAGATCACAAGGCAGGATTGCAGAGGAATCGGCGATCTCCAGCACAGGGGCAATGCTGGGTCTACGACTCCCAGCTCCGTTCTCTGTGGGCAGGGCCAGTTTACTGCTGTCAGCCGGGGGATCTGGGTTCTGCAGGTCAATGGCCACAGTTCCTGTAAAACAACAAAAATGAGCCATGAAAGTGGAGGCTTTCCTCTTCGGGTAAACGTTGGGAAAGTGCAGCATGAGGAAATTCATGTGTCCACCGGTGAAACAAGCTATCTATAACTGTTTTCTGATCTGAAATGTTAATTGCTTTTGTGCTATTTACAGTGCAATGAAAGTGGTCAAAGAAATATTGCATTATGAACAATTTTTGATGACTCAGAATTTAGGTCAGTTCCAGTTCATTTCCAACAGTGCAATGAATAAAATGAAAAAACTTGTGTAAATTACTAGGAAAATTAGCCTGTGTATACAGTAGATGGTATAAATGTTTAATTATAGCAAAATATTTCTTAAAACGCACTGAAATTGACCTCAACCCTGATGTATTGCTTTTAATGAACGAAGACTGATTTGCACATTTCAAATCAGTGATTTGCAAACAAAATCTTTAAGCACCGTGAGGTTTAATTTAAAAATGCTGAAGCGAAGAAAATGTTCTGAAGGGAAATTTGCTGCTATGCAGAAGATTGTCCCTCTGCTAAATGTTAAGGGCAGTTGTGAAAACAAATCAGTGAAGAAACGTAATGGACTAATTCCTTATATATAATTAATTATGTTAGAGAGTAAGCCAGGGATATTTTACACATGCAAGAGCAGTTTCCAAGCCCAATTGAAAAAAAAAAATTCTTCATTTTCTAGGTAAAAAAGCTTGCAGGACAAAAGCCTTGAGCCTTAGAGCTCTTCAAAGTAATGGGAATGAACGGGAGAGAGAGGTTTCTGTAAATGTTGACATTTACACAGGCATCCACTAATGATGTCTTATGATTTAACTGTCTCTCTAAACCGCATGCTTAGACTTACCATATGAAGTAGACTGATCGACTTCAACAAAGGAAAAACAATGAAAAAGTATATTTTATCATGAGCATGACTTAAAACTTCTTCTAAATTTTGATAAATTCACCCTGCCAATGCTGCTTCTGAATGTTACTCTCATGCCACTAACTGGCATATGGCATCCATATGGAAACTGCATTAAACCAACCCTGCGGCTGCACTGATGTAAACAAATTAAAACTTGTGCTTCATTTGTTTGTAACAATAACAACACCACTAATGTTTAAATCAGTCATTATTTTGGGATTTCCGCTCGGTGCTGCTAGTGGCGCAGAAATTACACACTGCAGCTTTCAAGAAACTCATTCGTCTGATGATTACAAGTTTGAAGATTCCTGTTAGTTACATCACTTTATCAGGTAGACATTGCTATATGTTCCCTCACCCATGCTTGCAATGATGCTCTGCACCGGGAGACGAGAGGGGGCGTCATACACGCCGGTGGCCGACTGCCCTTTGCTGTGCTTCTCCTCCTGTTTGAAGATGAAGGCAGAGTTCTCCTCTTTAGTGATGTTAATGTAGTAGCAGGTGTCTGTGGCAGACATGATGTGGCGAGGGCCAGGGTTCAGAAGTATGCTCTTATTGTCTTCTCTCTTGGTGCCGATTAGGCAGACACCATACCTAAGGTAAAAATGATTTTGGTGAGTTTAACTTGGTGTTTAAGAGAGAAAAGCATAGCAGTGCTAACTGGTCTTTATTTGGAAGGATCTACACTCTGATACTGCTTTGAGGATCTTAAATATATTATATTCAACTTTATTGTTTATTGTCATTGACATTGTTCAGAGTATAGTACAGAGCCAATGAAATGCATATAGTAATATATCATGTGAATAAAACATTATGATGCAAATGAAGCACACATTGTAATAACGTGACCAATTGACCATTATAATGCAAATGAGATTAAGCCATAACAGGCTGAGCAAAGTGGCCAATAGAGTTGAAATTACATGATATATACTCTACTGTTTAAAAGCATGGGGTCAGTACATTTCTTTAAGACAGTTATACTTCTATTAAGCAAGGATTAAATTGATCAAAAGTGACAGTAAAGACTTTTACATTGTTACAAAAGATTTCTATTTCAAATAAATGCTGTTCGTTTGAACTTTCTATTCATCAAAGAATTCTGAAAAAAAAGTATCATAGTTTCCACAAAAACTAAGCAGGACAACTGTTTTCAACATTGGTAATAAGAAATGTTTCCCGAGCACCAAATACATGATATGATTTCATATCATATATTTGCATATTATGATTTCATATCAAGGATCATGTAACATTGAAAACTGGAGTAATGATGCTGAAAATTCAGCTTTGCCATCACAGGAAAAAAATTTAAAAAAATATATATATTAAAATATAGAAAACAATTATTTAAAATTTTAATAATTTTTCACAACATTATAGTTTTTACTATATTTTTATCAAATAAATGCAGCCTTAGTGAGCTTAAGTGACTTCTTAAAAAACATTAGAATCTTACCCACCCCAAACTTCTGAACAATAGTGTATAAAGGGAATGTGGTTTTAAAAATATCATTAATAAAATGCAAACGGTTCACTTCACATACATCCCAACAGTTAATTGTGCAGCTCAAAGTAAACGTTCCGCAATCACTCACTTTTTATGTGCATGGAAGGAGGCATAAGTAAAACTCTTCCCATCATATTCGCCAAAGAACTTGCTGTCCATCAAACGAATGTGGTAAACTTCATTCCCCGAGCAGCGGCCATACGTCCTCTGCCACTGTTCTGGAGACATCTGTCCCTCCCTAAAACCCCAAGCAGACAGTTCAAACACCAGCACAAAGATGACACTCCAAACCTCGTTTCAGCAAATGTGATATTACTATTATTGTGGGATCATTTCAGAGTTTTCTTTATAAAACAATCTCAGCAAGTTCAGACTGTATGGGTCAGTCTTCCTCAGACAAATGAAAACAGGAAGTTTAATGGCATTGATCGGCTCTCCTCACAAATCTGCTCTGAGTAATTATTTGTGACACTATTATTTGTCAGGGATCACAGAATTGGAAAGGTTACGTGAGGTGCCACTATTTATTTAATAAATCCTTCAATAAATTAAACAACATTTCAGGAAATGCTTCTTTTACATCAGTGTCAGAATAAAGAGGAAAGACATCAGTACTGACTGTCCACGAGATGTGTGCACCAGGAGTGTGACCAGTGTAGAGGTGGCCGGACACACACAGTTGAGGGCCAGCATGGCATACTTGAACTCCTCCTCACACACCACATGATCTAACAAACAAAACATACCGACACATCATCTATGTGAGAATTATAATATAATATAATACCGGTATAATATAATATAATATAATAGAATAGAATAGAATATAAACAACATGCACTGGTTGTTATGACTTGGGCCAAATATTCATACTTATCAAATCACCCTGGATCATAACAGTAAATGAACACATATTAAATATTGATGTTCCTTAAAAATTAATGAATTTCGACAAAATAGCTCTCAAATTATAAAGCACCAGGCACAGATGGACTCCCTGCTGAATTATATAAACACTTCTAGGACACCGGTCATTCTTGTGAAATTTGGAAACACTATGAAACTAAAAACACATCAGTGAACTGCCCTAATCTCAGAACTTATGAAACCAATATAAATCCAACATTACCACTCCATTTCACAAATCAACATAACATCAACCTCAGTAGAACAGCTTTAACACCCAGAGATGATTCGGTCATCTTATTCATTCAGTTCAAATTGGTTTCATTACAGACAGACACTCTTTAAATTAGAGACATTATCCTTTTAATGTACTGCAAGTATATAAGAGAACACTTTAAAAAAATTTATTATTATTATTTTTTTATTTTAGATGCAGAAAAACATTTGACAGAGTTAACAGGACTATTCGTTTAGTGACAAAATATATGCTTATGTTGTGTTTTTGTCATTTTTAGTATTTTTTATATATACACTATGTCTACATAGTTTTTATTAAAAACATTTTTTACCATAGAATTTTTATTGTTGCAAATTGCATTTTTACATTTTATACCACCCCACCCACCATACACGACCCTACCCAGCCCCAACAAAGCAACCCCCAATTAGAACACAATGACAAAATAAAATAAAAAAATAAAAAAATAAAAAAAATTTTTTTTTTTTTTTTTCAAAAAATATAAACACAAAATACAAAAAAATACATAAAACAAATTAATAATAATAATAATAAAATAAGGGGTATATATATATACCTCCACTCAATCCACGTCTAAGATTTGTAATTCATTAAAGAATGTGATAAATTGTTGTCATTTTTCAAAAAAAGATTCCCCCCTACCTCTGATATTGTACTTAATTTTTTCAAGTTTAAAAAAAAAGACCAAATCTTTGAGCCAAACTGAAATAGAGGGGGGATTCATTCAGAAGTGAAACAAAACATGCAGACGTACTTTCATTTATGTTATAGACTGTTATAGATTTAAATGCCTATGATTTGGCGTTGCATTCTCAATGATGGGTTACAATGCTCATCTGCTACAAAAAGCACTACACGAGTAGTTATTCAGTCTCCAGCATAATCTCATGACAAAAAATGTGACCAAAAAAAAGACCAAATCTTTGAGCCAAACTGAAATAGAGGGGGGTTGAGGGGAGGTCCAAGATAACAGCATTCTGCGCCTAGCAAGAAGAGATGCAAAAGCTATGACGTCAGCCTGTCTCCGGCTTAAAGGCTGACATTAATTTTTTTATTCAGTTTTAGTTTTAGTTATTTTAGTATATCAAGTTAAACTTATTTAAAATGAAAAAACTTTGCCTTGGCAACAAGCTGAAATACAAAATTTGTATATTATATTTCAGTTACTGTTTACAGCATATTATTTCAAGTAATGAAAATTTTTAGTTTGTTTTAGTTAACTTTAATATCCTTGATTTTTCGCTGAGGAGCCGAGCCGGTGACCCGGCCGCTCAGGGGTGGTACAGTAGCCGTGGCGACGGGACGTGACGCCTCCGTTCCCTCCTTCAGGGAACGAGGGAACCCAGCTCTCTACAGGTTCTCAAGGATTCAGCAAGAGAGGGCCTGGCGCCGGACGTTCCGCCATGTCTGGCTGCCAAGGGGAGGAGCTCGACAGGGCCTACAGTACGGACACAAGCCGACACTAAACCGGGGCCTCTCAGTGCCTCTACCCGTTTGAGGTGAGAACACAGGAGGACACCGGCTTCACACGAAGGCTATAGAATCTAGCGAACGTGTTGGGGGGCCGCCCAGCCCGCAGCTCTACAAATATCTGTCAGCGAGGCGCTACGAGCCAGCGCCCAGGAGGATGCAACACTCCTAGTAGAGTGAGCTCGCAACCTGAGCGGGCAGGGCACACCCTGTGCCTGATAAGCCAGGGCGATAGCATCCACAATCCAGTGGGCCATCCTCTGCTTAGAGACGGCATTCCCCTTCTGCCGGCCTCCGTAACAGAGAAAGAGCTAGTCTGAGGTCCTGAAGCTTTGTGTCCGGTCTACGTAGCACCTTAATACTCGGACGGGACAGAGCAAAGCCAGGGCTGGGTCTGCCTCCTCCGGGGGCAGCGCTTGCAGGTTCACCACTTGGTCTTTGAAGGGTGTAGTGGGAACCTTGGGCACGTAGCCGGGCCGGGGCCTCAGGATTACCTGGGAGTCAGCCGGCCCAAACCCTAGGCACGAATCGTCGACCGAAAATGCATGCAGGTCCCCTACCCTCTTGATGGAGGCCAATACAATCAGGAGCAGAGTTTTCATTGAAAGAAACTTTAGCTCGACTGACTGCAAAGGCTCAAATGGGCCCTGCTGTAGTGCCGTGAGCACTAGAGTCAGGTCCCAAGAGGGTATAGAGGGGGGCCGGGTAGGATTCAACCTCCTGGCCCCTCTAAGGAACCTGATGACGAGGTCATGCTTACCTACGGACTTCCCATTCACCGGGTAATTGTACGCAGCAATAGCAGCAACCTGGACTTTGAGGGTGGAGGGAGACAGCCTTCGCTCAAGCCCTTGCTGCAAAAAGGACAGCACAACTCTGATTGGGCATATTCGGGGGTCTTCTCGGCGAGAAGA